TTGCGAAAGATTATGACCGAGTTGGCAGAACTGGGAGGTGTTGGAGCAACACCTCCATTGATCAACTGCCCGTCTTGAAACACCTACCTGATCGCTTCTGGGGCAATTGGAAAAGCCGAGCTGGCCGACTGAGGAAGACTATGCTTGACTTATACCACCCGCTGGTTGGCAGAGTCATCGACCGACGCCAGCAGCTGGGAGTCCTTCGGAATTCATTCTTGGACCAAGTTCTCGATCAACAGGAGACCTTGAACTTTACCCGAAACGAGATTGATGTCATGTGTGCAAACTTGGTTGAAGGGGGCACAGACACGGTGTCTACGACTCTTCTGACATTATTCCAAGCTATGGTGACGCACCCCGAGGTCCAACGAAAAGCCCAAAGCCAAATCGATTCGGTTGTGCCTGATACGAGACAGCCATGTTGGGACGACTACGAACAGCTTCCGTATATCGCCATGATTGTCAAGGAGGGCAACGCGGCGACGTGAGCTGGTTTTTGCGGCCGCGGCGCAGACAGAGAAAACAGTTCTCAGTGATTACGATTAGCCAGGCATAAAGAGGTAGCGAGAATTTGTAAAGCCATAACAAACCCAATTCTTGTTCTGTACAAGAGGTATCTATATGGGTAATATCGTTGGGAGTATAATAATCTATTTAGCGTCTCTCAGACATCCGAATTGATATCTATGCACCATGCCCAAGCAAAAATCGAACCAGTCATCTTGCACTAAGCTCCTCATCAGTCAAGACCCGGGAAACTCCCGTGATATCCTCGATCGATGCATTCCTCTGTGCCTCCGTACCATAGTAATCTGGCGTACTGATCAAACGCACGCCACCCGCAGCCTCGATAGTTATCGTTTCATTCCGATACGCTCGACCCAATCCACCTCCACTGAGGGTGTCCAAGGCCGGGAAGTAAGGCGTCTCATTGGACTCTAGCTGGACAGCTAGACATGTGTCGAATGACACCTTCTGAAAGTCCGCGAAGAAGCTGTCGTATGTACCGTTCATGGCCTGCGTAAGGGACGTGAGTCGAACCGTGCCTTCTCCAACTTTGGGCTGTAACAGCGCCCACGGGTCTCGACAGCTGTTTTGTTCGCATGATTTCGTAACCATCAATAGCGCGTTCAGGCGGTTCACAAGTCGCGCCGAGCTGGCGTTTTGCGCAAGGTTCACAAGCTCGTAAGGATCCGCAGCAGTGTTGTACAACTCCTTGTCTCCTGAGCACCAGACGGTATAGACCCAGCTTTGTTCTGTGCCCAAGAGTCGGATTGCCTTGTAGCTTGTGTCCGCGAACGGAGAGCCTAATTTTCCGGCACTCGGTGCTTCAATACCTGCGTTGCCCCAATATTCGATGTTGATGCTCTCTTTGGAGTTTCCTTGCCCTGCCGCTGTACCAGCTGCAGCTGAAGAGTTAGGATTGTGCCATTGCGGTAGGAGACTACGGCCGTCGAAGAAGACGGGGAAATCCGAGCTATTGACGCCGGCGATTTCGAGAAACGTCGGCGCGAGATCGAGATGCAGACTTGGGATGTGCGACGTCACATTCTGGGGGACTCCTGGTCCGCGAACGACGAATGGTAGATTTGTATCCTCGTTGTAGAAGAGTGATTTCCCTGCCGGCATCCTGTGTTGGCCAACGTGGTACCCATTGTCTGACGTAAAGATCACTGTGTTCTCATCAGTTGCTTATCTCTAGATTGTAACCATTGAGGACATGATTTATACTTACCGTATGTGTTATTGAGTGCATCCTTGGATTCAAGCATCTTGATGACATCTTCCACAATCTCATCCACGCCGGCTACTGCTTGTATCCGAGACCGGTAGACAAAATCCGCAAAGTTGACAGCAGAATCATTCATGGACAACAAGTTCTTGACCCAGCCGCCAGCATTGGCTTGTTCTTCATCCGAGGGATTGAAGTTCGGGGTTCTGGGCGCCTTGATGTCTGGATACAGCTCCAAATGTCTTTGAAGGGGGATTGGTCTGGTAGCGTTCATGTAAGTACTTCTATCTGTATTGGACGGTTGTCCTCTTTGCATACCTGTGTGAGGGCTTATTCTGTTGGAACCCCACATGTGGTGTGAATGGGGCGATAGCAAGGAAGAACGGCTCAGACTTGGTCGTGAGATAGCCTAGCCGGTCAAGCCTGATCGTTGGTCAACGATGAATGTCAACAGCCAAGACGCGCTTGCTTGACTTACGACTTGATTCGGATAACGTCAGTTTGGTGGTAACCTTCGTAGTATACTGGTCGCTCGCCTGTAAGTGTGAGGCATTGGTCAGCAAGTCCGACTCATTATCTTACATAATATTCAATTGTCAAAGGCCGTCTTTCGATTGAGAACTGAAATACAGTGTCATACTAACCATTCTTAGACAGAACTGGAGTATTGAAGTCATCAATATACGGTTCAACCTGTGAGATATCAGAACAGAGCCTTGGTTGGTTGTGCGGAGAAGGCATACGAGGAGATCGCTATAGTCCCAGCCTTTGGACTTGGTGTCGTAATTGGTGATACCATATCCGTTCATGATCTTGCCAATATCTAATTCATGTTAAGTCTAGCATTATTGTAGTAGGCGTGCTGACAACTCACATTCAGTCCTGTATCCTGCCTTGTTCAGCCAGTGCGGCAAGTAATTCGTATCTTGCCCGGACTCAACCCATTTATTGTACGATCCCCTTGCAATTGAGTTAGTGGAAACTTCCGACAACTATTTTGAGTCTTGATTTGAGATGCATTACCCAGGCTTGACGACATTGGTCAGATTGGTGTTGTCTGATAGACCATCATTAATGAGACACTCGACACATGATTGCTTTTGGCCTACTTACGGACTGTCTGACCCCGAAGAACAGTCGACCTTGACGGGCAACACAAAGCTTGGTTTGTGTAGTGATTTGTGAACTCCGTTCCCTTCGCGATAAGTTCTTGTTGGACTGCTGTCATACGATCTACAGATCCCAGTCGCCTATCTTGATCGTCAGTCATGATGAAAACGATGTTCGGCTTATTATCTTGAGCGGCTGCACCACCCATAGCCATATGAAGCAGCGCGACAACTAGTATTGGGATCATGATGACGATGATGATAGTGAGGATCCCGGGGATGGCTACTCTCTTGCGGAAGAGTAGAGGCTTCCATTTCGACCAGGTCCATCGCGAAACAGGTTGCGATTTATCTATTTTGCCCGTGGGGCTTGCTGAACGGTCGTCCATTGTTCGGCCAATATGGTCTTAAGAGTCGTCGTAATGGGTGTGAATCATTGCATGTATGATGGAATGCAGCGCGCGATTGAATGCACTATAATCACGTATTGGCTTGGCAATATCACGAATGTTTACTGCAGTGTGGTCTCCAATGAAAATCAATGGGAAATTTGATCGCTTCCCACCCCCTGAACCAATCGTCGATCGATCTGCCGCCGATACCTTCTGCATTCAACCACTCGTCACGTGGCATCCCGCTGCACAATATTCTAAAATAACTACAATGAATCTGCCGATCATCTTGCGAATAGCTCCCAAGTGGCTACATCGAAGCACGCAAGTATGCATAGTTTGTAGGTGATTCATTGCGTGATGTTTAGAAAGCTACCGCTGTGATAATGACGGAGGACCAAGGTGAAGATTTCAGGCTTGGTTGGCACGGTGGTTGCAGAACCGGGAACAACGCTTTATCCATCTCCTCTCCTCTCATCGCATCTCGGGATGCTTCAACCCCAGTCTTGGCAACTCGTCTAAAAGCAGAGTCCGGGATATTGATTATCTGATTTTGTCAATCATGAGATGAACTGGCGTGTATTGTGACGTTACCAGATATTAGATGGCATCAGTCCCAAATGAGACGCTCTGTCTCGGAAATCAAGAGTCCAATGAAATCGGCACAAACTAACAAGCGTATTGAATCACAATAGCGGTTTAGTTTTCTCAATGACGAGGATGCAAGCGACTCGATTTCGAGTGGGGTATAGGTGAAAACACATTGAAGGGAACTGTGCTTCATTCTTGGCCATTGCTCGAACCAATCGGCACACGGTCCCTGCCACCTCAAATACCTGTTATAGTTCGGATTCAGCTATTGCCAACCGGAGTACAAGATCCAGAGAACGCCGGAACGAATGGGATAGAAAATTGTAACTGATATTGCAATCTCTCTATAGTGCAACTTAAGTTCAGTACATATAGTGTGTATATAGCTCGCTAGTACCTACGTGTATTTGTCTAACCGTAGAATCGTCGGTGTCAAGCGTACTAGGTACTCCATACTGACCGTGTGCCTTGTCGACAACAGCTAAAAACACCATGAGGCAGAACAAATATATCCGGGTTTGGAATGCCCCGATATTCGTCTTACCATATCCATTGCTTTATATAATGCCCCTAGAGTTGCACTGCCAGCGTGTCGATTTCCGGTCGGGAGATAGCTTGTGCTGGTCGCGAATTTTGGGAAAAGCTTGAACGGGGCCTCAGGCCAACAGGCGCCTAAACTGCAGGTGCTTCCAGGTGTCTCGCATTCCCTTAAGGCACCCTGAGCCCGCTAATAGAGGAAAAACCGTAGTAGCCAAATGTCAGTTGTGGTCCTACGATGGAGACAATGTCAACACCATATCATACATGAATAATTAGGAGAGAAATGTTGCGCTTTCATTGTGTCCGACTGACGTCGGGATTAAAGCCCAATGGGCCGTGGCCACAACTTTACACGCATTGCAAGCACAATCCGATTACCTACATCCCTCACTTGTTGTAAGGCTAACTTTGCTTGTCAGGTGGGGAGTTTGGCTGGGGCGGCACATCTGTTAAACCATAACGCAGGTGTCCTAAGGGGGGCTCATGGAGAACAGAAATCTCCAAAAAGACCAAGGGCAAAAACAAACAAAAAAAAAAAAAAAAAAAAAAAGGGATGGTTGTAGTCTCAGTTCACTGAGATGCATTAGGAATTGAGCCCAATGCGGGGGTCGAACCTGTCGGAAGGATGTTAGACACACGATGAATGGAAAGATTCGAACATGCAGCTTACCCGCAACCTTGAGATTAAGAGTCTCACGCTCTACCGATTGAGCTAACCGGGCGAACAGCTGTTGTGATTGACAAGTATGTTTTATTGAGGCATATACAACTATTGTCCCACTGATGGGAGCGTTCGAAATTGCAGGCTGAATTTGATTCTCGAGTCGTGGCTCATATTATCAATTGTCACGATAACCTCAAATTGGGGCGGTGGTCCACTTGATGCGCACTAGAAGTGGGATCTTTCCCAAATCTCGAATCATCGCGACAGGGAAGAACCCAATTTTTCGACACACAGTCGGACAGTTTTGATGTCGGGAGAGGTAGGAACGGGTGTGCAGGTTTCGATTTGCAGCAGATGTTCAAGTTGGACTACGCGCCTGCATTATGATGAGATGGCCAGATCTGTTTCTATCAGCAACAGCGGTGAAGGTTTTGAAACCCTCAGGTATGTTCCGGCAGCGAACAGCGGGACTTGGGACATATGGTCGGCCACCGAACACGACATCCTTGGGATATGCCAGCTGAGTAAAACAATGCAATGTCATTTCAAACTTGACAGGGCGACAATTTCTACTCATTTCATGCGGTCTTTTTTTTTTCCTTATAATGAGTAGACATCACTCAATCTAGCTTTATGAGGTCTCCTGGTCACGTAAGCCAGATGTAAGTAAGCTCAGTGCATTTGCAAAGACTGCGAGCTCAAAATGGGCATAACAAACAAGCGAATAGTAAAACGGCATGAAGAGAGCCGAACGAAACTCGCAAAAGCCCACGTCCAACATTGGCGAATATAAGAGAGTTTTGCCAACAGCTGAGGAGCATCCATTTTCAAGTGCCAAGAACAGCCAAGAATATAGAGCTCGCTTGAAAAAATCAGCTGCCGCGCGCGCATGGATCGACACAGTTCCAAGGTCAATGGCTCACTTGAGTAGCCAGATCTCGGCCAGATTACCTGCTAAGCTGCTCCATGGTTTGCTCCGCACATACATAAGGTTCAATAACTCGGACAGACTCCAACGAATCAGCCATCGCGCAATTAATCTGCGCATAACTCTCGATGGCGCAGTTGGTAGCGCATTGGACTGTAATTGTCACATCTTTCAGATCATCCACAGGTCGTGTGTTCGAATCACACTCGGGAGAAAATTCCTTTTTTGGGCGTGAGGTGAATAATTTTTAGGCGGGCAGGCCACAATAATGCCATCGACCCAAAGCACATTTATTTCTCTTTTTCCTTTTCTCTCCCTTCCTGCCGCTCAGGGTAATTCAGTCGGGCTTGATCGTTTTTAATCATCGGAAGCTAAATTGACGCAACTATTGCCTACCCGTTGCACATACTCATATCTGTTTCCCTTAAATACTCATGCCGCAACCTAATGTTAACCTGATCGTAGCATGACCCGAGAGAAATTCGAGTAAAGTGTTGTCGTTTGCAATTAATGTATGAGGGCAAGACGTGAGAGCACAGTCATTCCCGATTTATAAGGTAGGTAGAGCTAGAATGCCACATGCGCAACCTGGGTGGATGAGAAATCGGAGCCGGGACGGCTAATATTGATCGACCTGCGACGACTTCGAAACAGCGCCGGCCGCCCACAGGCGAGGACACACCGCACCGTTTGCCAACAACATTCAACCGGAGGGAATCTTTTCACGTGAAGTCGAGCGATTGGGCAAGCGAGCAGTGCGGTAGAACCCAACGACATACCGGTCGCATTGGCGTAACTGTCGCCAACAGTGACAGGACCAAGCATTCCCGTCACAATATCAGAATCACAAATATTGGTGGGTACATTACATAGCGATGACAAGTGCGTAGGCGATATCATTGATACCAATTCAATCTCACCATGCTGGAGTTTGTGATGCCCTGCAACGGGTGATTGCTCATGACGAATGACATATGACTTTTTACAGGAATAGCCGTTGCGACTTTGTTCGAATCGTAGATCCTATGCAAGAGGAATACGACGAGCCAATTGAAGTAAACAGTAGGTCTCGTAAAGCTTCAATTTATATGTGCTCTGAGTGCTCGAGTGTTCTCAGAGGCTTCGGCGACCGAGCACCGAAGAAGGCAGGTAGCCGGTTACGGCGTTGGCAACCAGTTATAAGTTGATTTGATCTGCCGTATCTGAACCCGAACCCGTCTTCCAATGCAGAGCTGCTGTGACATGGGCAATCACATCATACGTTATAAAGCTCAGCCAATGACCTAGGGATCTCCCTTCCAACCGAAGCCTTTTCGTCCGGTTCAATTCCACCACCTCGATTTCCTTCTACATCATCAAAAGTATCGCAGGCTCGAAATGGGTGTCCCCGTCACTTCAAGCGTCGACAAGGCAGTGTCGCCAAGCCAGGATGGCGCGAATCTCCGCCTAGCATTCCCCACGACGACTGTCACTAAAGCTGCCACCAATCTCACCAAGGAGGAAGCCAAGACGACCCCAACGTTGTCCATTGCCGCCTCGGCACTCAAGCAAACTCCAGGCACCAAGTACATTGCCGCCGCCATTGACCTAGACGCCCCATTCACGTCTGTCAACTTCCTGAGCCCGATTCTCCATGGCCTGCACGCCGACCTCGTTGCCGGACCACTAGGCGATGACGGATTCGCCCCGCTTCAAGGCACCACTGAATGGATGGTACCTTACATCGGCCCAGGACCGCCGCCACCCAGCGGTCCTCACCGTTACGTCTTCCTTGTGTTTGAGCAGCCGAAGGAGCTAGACACTGCCAAGATCAAGAGCAAACTTGGGTTTGGTGAGGCAGTTGGTATGTGGCCCAGAATTCGCTGGGACCAAGTAGGTTTCGAGAAGAAGCTGGGTCTGGGCGAGGCCTTGACGGCGACTTACTTTCTTACCAAGGGATGATCATTGATATCAGATCAGGTGGAAATTTATTCTGGTCAAGGGATGGAGAAGTGTGGATGATCGAATGAAAACGAACTTGTCGACTATTCGCCATTTGTTGCTCCGGGGCTCATCTCTCAATTATTCGATCAAAGTGCCCTTGCGTTCAATTACTCGGTTTACGATCGTTTTGTTAAAATACCCATATAGTTCAAACAAATAATATAACAAATAATGCCATTCCATGATGAAATATGTCCGCCGTTCGATATTATTGTCCGCTCTCCTAGCACTGCCTACAGACCGGAATGCATCCAGCACGGTCAGACAGGACACCTTTCCTTGACGGAAGAAGCAACCCATGAGCGCGGCCGAGCATGCTGTTGGACATTATTGATAGGAACTCCACGAAGGCTAAGTCCGCCTGTGTAATTCGAATATTCTAAATATCTTTGGGGCACATCTTACACCCATCTTTTCTGTCTTCCTCAGCAATTCCTAGAAGAAGCGGGTTCAAAGAATGTGGCCTTCCTTGTGACTTACTATAGGCAAATCGAACAATGGAGGCAATACAGTGAACAGACTGTTTCGCAACCTGTTACTAGGAAATGTCCAAAGATGAATGTCTTTATGTACCATGTTTTCAAACATCAGATGTGTGGCACATACAAGACTATTGTATTAGAACACAACTTGGTCATAGACTGTTGTTTGCTCTGGAAATTCATGCATAAAAGCCGGTAAAGTCTACACATGGAAACAAAGACGTAGCACAGATAGAGCAACGCACCAGTTGATACCACTTTCATTGCTTGCAACAGCTATAGTCATGTCTTCGATATTTCAGAGCTTGATCTGTTGCATTCACCGCCCGAAAGGGTCGAAAAAGCTGAGGAAAGACGAAGGTAAAGGAGTTGCTGCCCGCAACAACATTGACAGTAATGTCGCGAACCAATCTTTTACACCCAGTGAGCAACAATTTAAATCAACCATCAGAGATCTTAGAGATAATGATGCATTATTCCACTATGCTGAGTCAGTATACGGTTCAGCTTAATCTTGGAGATGAATCAGGGTCCAGTGTCCTTCTTCATCTGCTACATGGGTAAGATTGCCGGTTCCATAGGGGATATTTTTGATGTCAGTGTGTGCTGATAGTTGTGGGATGTACCGATTGTCTGCGAGTTTAAACATGGTGGCGTGCGGGATTTGGATATACTTGTAGTCGTGTATTAAGACAAAACAGAATCTAAAAGGAGGAAAAAAGAGTGCTTAGATAAAGTGAGAATTCATCGTAGCTTCCAACTTGTGACACAGATATACCTTGGTCACAGACAGTCACAGTGAGAAATGTCTGCGGGGTTCATTTCCTCAGGGAAACACTCGTGAACCCCACCACCTGCAATCAGTCGAAGCACCTAAATCCATCAGCATACTTTACTCATTGCGCTTTCGATCAGCCTTGAGCTGGAATCATTGTTAATTGATCATTCAGCTCTGCACTTATGGGCGGGGCAGTAACACTAGGTGCCACATATCCAACAGACAGCCCTAAGTCTGAACCGATCGGACCGAAAAGCCCAACGATCCACCACACACTCTCTCTCTTCGTGACATAGTATTCAATAGTACACCGCCAATCACATCCGATAGAGGCAACTTGGCCGAGTGGTCTATGGCGCTGCATTCAAGAGAATTGAACTCTTCCGTGTTCGAAACACTGAATTTCGCAGTCACGAAAGTGGCAAGGGTTCGAATCCCTTAGTTGTCATCGTTTTTGCCCATTTCCCAGGCACACCATGGATTCATTCATCAATACCTTTTTAATGCACCTATCACCATTTTTATCCCGTTCTTTTGTTACATTTTTCTCATTTCCATTGAGCACGCAATCAGTCGATGATCAAAGGCACAACTGGCCGAACACCAACTCCCAAGCAACAAAGGCACCAGCGCCATCGCACGGTTTGTGCAACTTCGTCCACGACACAGCAACGCACATCCCGGTCTTTCCATGTAAATGTCCAATTGCTTAAACAGTTACCGCTGTCATCAATCCGTGAAACACATCGTCTGGCCGATTCCTGTTAGGCTTGCGTGGCCCAGACTCGTGCCTACGTCGTAAGAGCTTTTGGGCGCAAATCAATATCAATGTAAGGAAATGGTACAAGCGCAAGCGCATAGTACTTTTCACAAGCAAATGATCAGAG